GAGCCGGCCCTCGGAAGAGGCTACACTAACTGTCTGCACCTGGGCCCGCAGCGCAGGGTGCGCCCGGCCCCGCTCGCTGAGGGCGGAGACGCCGGCCTCGGGGCCCGCGGAGCCTCGCACAGGCCGCAGCCGGCTCTCTCCTCCCAGCTCGCTGTCTGCGCTCGCGGACGCCGAGGAGAGGCAGCGGCGGGTCTACATCTGGAATGGGAGCTGTGTTTTTACCATCCACCCTGGCCCGCCGGAGCCTGGAGGATGAGCCATCAGATCAGTGTCGGGTGCATTTGCGTAGAAGAAATTCCAGGTCTCTGGTACCATGATCTCAGTACCTAGAGTTTGCAAATCAATGGCCGGCCCTTGCTGAGCACTTACCCGGCAACTAGTCATCTAGCCAGACCTCTAGAGCCAGAAGCCTGGTGTGAATAGGGAGGCCTGTGACCCAGCGTTTACGTTCTCAGAGGCACACTGACTCAAAACACATTTATTAGTCTGATAATCTTGACTAAACGCTAATTACTTTACAAAACTTCAAATTTTTGTTTGTGAAACGGAAATAACCCTAGTTATTTAGGTTATAAGCTCTGTTGAGGAAAAACATTACTGTGACATTTTTCAAAATGGTAGGGAAGACTTTATTACAAACTTAATAGGAAAAAGAGCTATGCTCAACTCCAAAGACAACAAAGAAAAGTAGGAGTTTATACTCAAGGAGTAGATTGGGGGCCAGTAGATGGAAAATTACTAAGAAGAAATATCAGGGGTGAGGAGAGAATTCTGGCTAAATTGAGCTAACAGAATTCTTGTTGAAGGCAGGCCAGGCTAATCAGATGTCATACGAGGGGAGGTGGAGGATGAGGAACTGGATTAGAGATGGAGGATGGTGAACTCTGGCTAAACTTAGCAGGATATTTGCTAAAACTGGACAATGTAGAGAGAACATGGAAGTCCAAAAGTCAAGGCCTGTTTAAAAAGAGTTCAGGGGAGCCTAAGTAGAGTTCGGTCAAGGGGAGGCGTCTCCATCAAGTTATTAGTTATAAGAATACTATGATAACTGAAAGAAATAAGTAGTTTTCAAATATATAATAAGGACTCGTAATGAGCTTATAATATTTCAGGGTAGAGAAAACAAATGTTCAGAAAGCAATTATTAAACAATACATCAACATCTTATATAGGAAGTCAGTAATTGCTTGGGATGCAAACGCTGAGAGGAAAATCAAAATCCTGTAATGACTTTGACAGAATAAGGTTTTAGGACTTCCTACATCTATCAAAATGTCACCAAATGAAAGATGGCATGAGAAGACATTTCTTAAAAAGCACTCATGCTGTGGATATAAAAGCATTTTAAAGAAACTCAACAGTCTATATATAGAATAATCCCACCCTTAAGGTTGTCATTTACTAACCTAACAACATTCATTCTTATTTCCATAGGATGTGTGTGTGTGTATAATAAACGCTATTGATTGCCTGTCCAAACATTTATACGGGCATTAAATCTCCCATACCAAATTGGTTCAAGTTTCTACCCACCTCCGCAGGTTACTTTCTTTGGGAAGATGCAGCTCCAGCATCAGGCACAACAGATTACTTTTGAAGGGTCATATGTGGCTCCTCTCTTTCATACCTATACCAATATGTTAGCGTCATAGCCCTTTCTGGCTGCTATACCAGAATACCATAGGCCAGGTCATTTATCAACAGCAGAAGTGTATTTCACACAGTTCTGAGGCTGGGAAGTTCATGAATCAGTTACCTCCCAATGGCCCTACCTCCAAATACCGTCACATTGGGGATTACATTTCAACATACACATTTTAGGAGGCCACAAATATTTAGTCCATGGAATCTGGTAAATCCTGTTAGGTCAACCTTCAAAATATATCCAGAATCCATCACTTTCTACCACCCCTACTGCTATCATCCTGGTCTAAAACCCACATCTTTTCCAGATACTCATAGTACCCTCCTAAATGCTATCCTATTTCCTACCCTTCTGCCCCTTCAGTCTATCTGTAAAAAATAGCCACATGACCTTTTTTAAAAGCTTAGATCTCTCCTCTGCTCAAAATACTTCAGTGTCATTCTAATTCACTCACTGTTAGCCAGTCTTTACTATAACCTAAAACAGTGTTTTTCAACCTTGGCACTATTAATATTTGGGCCAGATAATTCCTTGTTGAGAAGGGAGGGTTGGTCAAAAGGTGGATTCTCCTGTGCATTATAGGTTATTTACCAGAACCCTGGGCCTCTGCAGTACCACTCCTCCCAAGTTATGACAATCAGAAATGTCCCCCAGACATTACTAAAATTTGTAAATTTTGCTAAAAATCGTTGCTGGTTGAGACTGACTTGCCTACAATAATCCAAATGTTCTTCACCTCCCCCATTCCTATTATTCTTTCCAACCACTGGGGCCTCCTTGCTGTTCTCAGGACTTTAGCACTTTTCATTCTGCCTGGACCACTCTTCAATCCCATATCTGTATCGCCTGCTTTATCACCTTCTTCAGGTCTCTATTCAAAAGTCAAGTCAGTGAGACCTTTCCTTATCCTATCTAAAATTTTATACCTACAATATTTCATAGCCCCTTTTCCTTTTTCCTCCTAGTGCTTAATACTGTAAAACAACATATTATATAGATTACTTATTTATTCTGAAAATAGACACACAGTATTCCTCAGTAAATTGTATGCTCCATGAGAGCAGGCAACATATTTTACTGTTTTAATCACTACTGTAGTCCCAGCCCCTAGAATGCATATAGAAAACATACCATTTTCTTTTTAAAAGAATAAATGAATCATGGTGGTACCATTCCCTTTTCCAGTGATTGGTTTAGATGTATGAAGTAGGCATGTATGAAGTGTAGGTAATAAGAGGTGAAAAAAGTTTCCTGTACACTTCTATAAAGAGATGGTCTCTTCTGCCTAGAATTTCCTCAGTCATCTTGTGATCATGAATATAGAACAAAGTACGAATCTAATACACCAGAAACTGCAGAACATCCAACAAATAAAGTTAGAACACTTAGACTATCAATCTATTTATCTGTCTGTCTGTCTATTATATATATGTAGAAAGAAAGAACAGAACCTCAACCCTTAACTCATACCCACATAAAAATTAACTTAAAATTGATCATAAACCTAAATCTAAATATAAGAGTTTAAAATATAAAATTTTTGGAAGAAAATCTAGAATAAAGTCTTTATGATCTTGGATTTGGCAAGTCTTGGTAATCTTTGAGTTTGTGTAATTAGAATGTACCTGGGGGAGGGGAGGAGCTGAAAGCCCAAAATAAAAAATTGGTAATTAATTTCATAAAAAGTAAAATTTTTTGCTCTTC